CAGCACCGTTACGCATACAGGCACACACACGCTTGTACATATACATATACATACTTCATAGCACAACCCCAAAATTGTGAAATTTTAAAAAAGGAATCTCCATACTGACTAATGGGCTTTAAGTTGTCTTGAAAGTCTTACACTGAAGCTAGCTCCATGAGTTTAACCTGTGCGCTGCGTGCAAAAAGCACCCGAGGAAACAACTGTTTTGTCAATACACCTAAATCCCTGACTGGCCTATCTGCACCACCACAGGGAAAAATTTGAAGGTGAATCAAAAACCAGTTGAAAACCAGTGATGTCAAAAGAGATGTCAAAACAGCAGCTTTAGGCGTTGTACTCAGATGGCACCTGTCACAAAATTAGCCTATATTTGTAGGTAAGGGCCTTTTTGCCTGATAGCACCGCAGCCCTGCGCTCTTTGCGGTCCCCTTGGTCTCTGACAGGTTTTGTGTTCACTAAGTGGAGCCTGTGAGCTCTGCAGGCAGCTGTTTTGTGGCTGTCTGCCTTGTTCTTCGCACATAAACATGCTGCTGCTTGCACTTCGGGGTCACTTCACAAGCTGGATGTCCGAGCAGTGCTAATCCTGTTTTGATCTGTCAGAGACCCTTGGGAAATGTGGAAGGCGCTGTGCTTCTGACTATTATAGATTAGTAAGAAATCAGCTCTCCGAGGAGGGGCCACAGAGGCACTGAAGTTAGGTGGTAGTTTCCCGTTTGATCTCATTGTTGCAGTCAGTGCAGGCTGTGAGAAGAAAAGGAACTGCAGGAGATGGTGGCTTGTACTCCACAAAAGAAACTCAGCACTGCTAAAATCCACAGCCAACTGGAGAGCCAGCTCTCTTTGGCCTAGGGAGTTTTCCTGTCATAGCACACTAGTTTGCCCTTATCAGGTATGTTCATTTCTGGAAGGCACAGTAATGATGAGGCTCAGAGGTAGGTGCTGTGGTCTGGTTGTTAGATAGGGTAGACTGGCTTTAATGGCAAGCACCCATGTCTGAGTGAGGTAGTTGCTCCTTTGGAGCAATTTAATGCTACACTCTTTTGGATTGCTAGTGTATTTTGACTACCTCACCAGGATTTTTGTGCAAGACAGGCCTTGATTTTACACTCCCAGTAATCTCCTACCCATCCCCTAATTTATTTTTTCTAGATTTACATGAGTTGATCTGAGAATAGCACTAGACATCATGTCGTTGTGTAAGCAAGCCTTATGTTTGAGGGTGTTGGCTCTGCAGAGCCTATGAATTTTTCCTGGTTTTCTGAAAGAAGTGAAAAAGAAATCTGGGATTATTTTTAATAATAAGTACTTTTACTCATCACAAATAATTAGAATTTAGACTAAAGTTAGAGGCAAAGGCTTAATCCAGGCCAAGGCCAAGTACCTCTTTTGTGAGGTACTTTCAAAACACCAAGTAAATGATGCGGCTTGATCCCAACAATTTATTTTAACTGAAATTGGACTTTTAGGCTTACAGAGAGGGAAAAGAAGTAAGTTGCTAATGGTTGTAGCCACTGTATCCAGTGTACCATCAGAGGCAGAAAGAGTGGGTACAAAATATTTGGAAGAGGATGAGCTCTAGAGGTGGGGAAAGTGCTGTGAGCAATATTCGTGGGAAAAAAGAAAACAACAAACAACAACCTGTCACTGCAACAACCCCTAAAGGGAGCTGCAAACAAGGAGCCCTTTATGCATGTAGTCTGCTCTAAACACTTGCCACCTCAGGAGAGCAATTGGCAAGTGCTGAGTAAAAGTTTGTTCTGCATTTCTGAGGGGTGGCATCGTTATGCTAATCATCCTTTCACTAATCATCCTTTCACTTGCTTGCAATGCTGCTGTTGTGCTCTCTTGGAAGAATTGGGCAGGAGGTTTCCCAGGACCTGTCCACGACTAAGGACTCGCTTTCAGCTGATCCGGTGCAAGCGGCTGCAGGCCTACTTTCCCTCCAAACCTCTCCACACCTTTTCCTGCCCCTCACACTGGAGCCATTCTAGCAATTTTGAGGTCTCCAGATGAGTCGTTGCGGGGATCCAGTTTGACTGAAACCAACCCAACCAGGATGATTCGTTTTTAGGCAAGTTCAGCTTCCTAAACTGGCATCTGCATGGGTATTAGTGCTGGTGCAAGGCAAGGGTTGGGACGTCAGAGCCAGCGTGGGAAGGGATCAGAATGACAACAAGACTGGCTTGACAGCCATCGATTCGGTCCGTGTGGCTGTCTCTGGTATCCTGGTTCTCTTCCTCCCTTCCCCCATCATTCTTATTTCCAAAAGTGAAGTTCTTCATTGCCCTATAGGGTTCTGCTGCTCGTAGCACTTTGGGAGATAGTGCTATTAAATGCTTCACAATGTCCTTTTAAACTTTAACAGTTCATGTGAAATTCAGTTATTTTTTGAGAATTTTAAGCTATCTTTAACAAATGTAGACCCAGTTTTGCTCTAAGTTCCCTTGCTTGAGAAACATCTTTCTGAGAATTTAATTAGAAGCAGCTCTCATTTACATGGAGTCTACCTGCTTCTATTAGCTCTGCAGCCCTAGGGGGGCAAAATCAGATGATTCTGTGAAAGCAGTTAGCTAAGACATTAGAAGCAACCATATCCAGGTCATGCAAAGTACTAAAACTATCTAACATTCATGTATCCTTAATTGCTTTTATCCCTTTATAGCTGTTGGGAGAATGTACCACCTGAGAGAAGGCTATCTATCTCAGGGATTTCTTTTCCATTAAGCAATGTAGATATGAAGAGGAGAATAGGCAGTGATTGCCCAACAAGAAAAGGAAGAAGTAGAATTTAGTATCAGGAAGGAGTTTGAACTTAATAGAGGCAGGTCTAAGCAGCCAATATTTGGCCCTGAACAGGCACAGATGTCCTGGCATCCAATATCTTTTGGGGGAAGGTGGGCTTCCACTTCAGGATTTCAGTGTCTAGTTAAGGTATGCCTTTGAGCATGTCAGGAAAATAATAAAGCAATTTCTGTGCCTTATAGGTGTATCAGTAATGTGAAAAGCTTAGGTTTCATGAGGGTGGAGACTGTAGAAATACACAGATAGTCCCAGGTCCTGAGTCAGAAATCCTACTCAGGACTTGTGTAACTTCCATGGTGCCTCTGTCACCATACACAGCGCTTTTCTCCACTAGAAGAGCAGTAGCGTAAGTGCTTTCCAGAGGACATCATTGCCTTTATTCTCTTTGTCAAGAGAGAAATGAGAGGTTGTGAAGTCAGGAGACTTGCCCAAAGTAGCCAGGGACAGCTATAGGACTTGAAAACCTGTCCCAATCCTGTGCTCTACCTAACAGGTAAAAGGCAGCACTGAAAAAACCACATTACAAACTTTTTGAAGACTTGCCTGCTTTTTCAGCCTGCAAAGTGACAGGCTCACCCAACCTGTTGTCTACATAGTGATTCATTTTCAGTCTGATAAAAAGATCTTACAGATAGGACATAACATTTAAAGAATATAGCATGTATTTTACTGTTCTCTAGAACGTCCTTGTAAAATCTCTATCAGAAAAAATCTTTTCCATCTACACCTGCTTTCTGGCAGCTGCTGCAGTGACAGCTGAGAATGAAATATGATAAAAATGTCACTTCTGCAAAATAATCATGGCCAATGGGGTGATCCTCCACAATATCTTGTGAAGGGAAAAACTTAGCTAAAACATTGGAGAAATTGGAGAATTGGAAAAAGCAAAGCATGTTGTGAGTGTTAAGCTAAGCATAATAATAGGTGGAATAGTTTAAGAGGTCAGTTGTTTTTGCTGAAGTGATTTGAGAAAACTTTGTGCAGCATGTAGCTGTGGTATGAATTGATCAGATGACATGAAATCTTTCTTCCTTGGCTTTTTGAAGGGGCGAAAAGTGAAGAAAAATAGCAAGGAATTATCACAACTGTCAGTTTACTGTCTTCTGCTGGAACCATGATAGACCCTAGCTGATTGTTGTTTTAAATCAATACCAATCAGCTTATAAATGCTGTGATTGGCATAGCTTCTATTTAACCCTGTGCTGTGTTTTCCAGACAGAATATGTAGCAGTTTTGCAGAATAAAAGGGGAATTTAAAAGCACGAGGCTCCTTCCAGCACTTAGGCCAGGTGTAAGCAGGCAATAAGCCAGGTGAGTAGCTCAGCTCTACACTGCAGGCCAGACACCCTCTGAAAACACGATGCAGTAGTAGGGGTCAAAATGGTTTGCTACTGCTCTCGAGACAAGAGGAGTTCTTTTCTGAGATTTTCCCATACGACAGCTTGACTCCTAGCCTTTACTTAAGCTAACAGTGGTTGCTTGCATAAACTTCTGTTTTCTTTTCTCTCTGTAGGTTTGTTGATTGGCTCTGGCTGTGCTCTCTATCCTCTTGGCTGGGACAGTGAAGAAGTCAGACAAACCTGTGATAACCTTTCTAACCAGTTTGAACTGGGTAAGTCACCGTCAGAACATCTCAGCTACGTTAGACTCAGTCCTATCTGTTGTCCATAAAAGCAGAGAGAGGCAAGGAGGGCAGGCTTGGTGAAGCAACCCGGCTGTGTGTATTTAGTGTATTCATAATGCATGTTTCAGGGGCAGTGTTAAGGTATGGAAATTCTGATATCGCTACTGGAAATAATTTCTTGTAGAATATCACAAAATAAAATGAAGGAACAGACTGTGTGTATGTATGCTTGTATAGATATATGCATGTCTATGTATGTATTTAAAACATAGATTTAATAGTCTTGTGATGTGGGAGCTGACATCCCTGGAGTTCTTGGTAGGGTAGACAGAGGCATCATGTCACAGAGCAGGTCAGGGGTAATTTACTGCCCCAGTAAAGTGTGACATACTCATGACCTACTGAAGTTTAAAGAGTATGGTTTTGGTCACTCACATACTTGGGAAACTGGTAAGTAACACTTGCTTGCTATGAAAATCTTTTCCCTAATAAGCCACTGGCCTTAGTGGTGATGTCTACACTGAGAGCTGAATGAGATCCAGGGATGTGGCCAAGCTGGGCTCACTCCCACATCGGATGAGCTTCCTCTAGAGAGCTCATTGGGTGGTCCAAAATAGGCTATGCAGAGAGCTATGGATTAAGCAACGTGGATGATTAGGGATCTGGTGTTTAAGTGCACACCTAGGTTCTCGTTTAGCTAGAAGGACTTGTGAAACTGCTGATTCCCTACTCTGTAAGTGCTCAGGAGATCCCCGATCCTGTGTTGCCCAAGGAAGAGGAGCATCTGTAACCTCCTGAAGGAACAGAAGGGACTGAGCGCCCAGGCCCTCCACAGTCTGAGCTCCAACTTCCGAGCAGGCACAGATACAGTTTCTTAGTCCTGTCAAACTAAATGTTATGGTTAATATTAGAAATCCTTTCAATATCTGAGCATGCGGGATTCTTGGTAGCTTGATAATAATCCCACTATAAAGAACCCCAGACAAAAATAGCTTCCTAGGGTTAAACACAAACTCATTTCATTATTTTTTAATTTTACACTGATATTTCTGTCAGGCTTCTATAACAAGGATTTTTTCTCTATATCCAAAATGCTTCTTAGGAAGATTTGCAAATGAACTGAAATTGAGGGCAGAGTTGCACAAAATAGCACCAAACTGTGAAAAAAAAATCTTTTGGAAGAAATGCTCCAGGTCACCGTTCCTTACACCACTCCTATGATGTGTGCTGAAGCGTATTTGCTCTGGCATAGGACCAGAAATTCTCACTGCCCATGACCACATCCATCTCTGCCACTGCTGCTGATGGTGTTACCTGCAGCCACCGCTAATTGTGTTGCTCAGGGGTTATGTGAAGTCCCCGAGAAGCTTTACCTTTTTATTCTGAACTGTAATGTCTTCTGTGCTATTAATATTAAAATTTCCTTCCAGTGAAGCCTAAAAACTTCCTACAACTTTTTTTCTTCAACTTAGAAGAAAAATGAAGGAGAGAAAGCAATTAGGAACAATAATGTATTCAACTATCAGGAAAAGTGCCCCAGAAATAAGATTCCCAATTCTAAGGAAAGGTCTCTGAAAGTGTGTGGAAAGGAGTGGGCAAAACGATAGAACAGCTGTTGTAGAGAGCAGTCTATTCATCTCAGCTCCTAATCAAGCCTATGCGGAAGTCTGGTTTTGTTCCTAATCAGCCCATTTGGCGGTACCCCTGTTTGAAAGGCCAGCCAACCAGCTAGCGGGTGTAGACTGAAGTCTGCTCTTTCACTCCAACTGAGTGAGCAGCTCTGCTCCTGTGAGCCCTGCCTTTGCCACCTGACAGTCTCCCCCCTCCCAGACTTCAAACATTTCTCAGTATTCCACTCTCGCCAGAGTGCAGAACAGTGCTGCCCTTCTGGGTTATTTCTCCGAGAAATGCCACAAGAAAAAAAGCCCATTTGAGCTCTTTGGTGACCACAGCTAGGTGATTCCAAACTATAGGCATAAGCAAGTTTGTGCACACAGTGAGATCAGAGTCTCCGAGACCACCTTTGTCATCTGAATCTTGACTCATGAGTCAGATATTTGCATAAATTGAATCATTTTCGCCAATGAAGTCAGTAAAGGAACTCCTGTGGAAGATTTCAACCGTCAGCTTTTTCTTCCAGGTACACATAAGGAACATGAACAGGGGTCGTGTTGTATTAACTGTGAAGCCCTGTGTTCTCACAATATTTTATGGATCAGGAGTATATACTGGGCATGTATTAATGCACGCCTAGACTTGACTGGAGTGCTGTTCTCACTGATGTGTTAAAATAAATTTTAACTTATATTACCACATTAATTAACAGATTATAGCGAGAGTAGAAATTTGCTGTAGTGATTTTCACCAGACAACTCAGCCACTAAACATCTCTTTTCCACATACATTGGATGTGAATTTAAATGATCAGCTTGGATTTCAAGTTAATGTCAGTGCCTGGTTGATGCTGAGTTACCAAGGACATCAGTAAAGAAGAGGTACTCTTTGAGGGCTGTGTAATACCCAGGTTGCTCATCTTATTTGATAAGTACCTCTTGGTTAGTGATAGCCCAAACCCTCTAGTCTTTTCTCAGTCATTAGAGACTGGTTTACTCATTATAGTGTAAAGGCCAAAGATGATGTTTCAAAGACTTAATCTCGCTATGTCTCAAGACAAATTTAAGTAATTATTGCTTTCATTTGAATAATTAATTTGATTAATCTGCAATGCTATGCTTTCTGTTCCTAAGTCTATGAAATGAGTTGCCTCGAAAACCACACATATATACACTGCAATCAAAATCTACCCTCAGAAAAGTCACACTACAGTGAGCCCTGGGCTGGTGTGTTGATGTGAGAAATGGTGGCAGTGCGAGAGCTGACCCTGCTCCTCCTGCTTCTGTGGGTGCTAGCTAGAACAGTGTTGCGAGCTGAATTCCCGGGCCATGCAGTTAGTCTCAAAAGAGAGGGCTTTTATAGGGATGGAGAACTGGTCAGCACTCTGCCTCCTCCTCAAGGATGCCAGAGCTGCTGTTCCAGCATGGACGAAGCAGCACACAGGGAACACGTGTGCTGTTAGGAAAAGAGGGTCACAGGAGACCAACTTCAATCACAGAGCCAGCAAAAGTGTGGTTCAGTGGTAGGTGAGATTCGTTCTGCACGTGCAATGGGTGAGGGGAAAAAAAAGGTGGAAAATGGAAGTAGAAGAGAGAAACCAGAAGCTGGATCTACATTATTGGAGGATGAGAAGGACAAAGGGCGGATACAGAGTAGGGATTATGAGAACTCACTTGAGAAGCAGCTGAATTTTGCATTGTAGAATGCTATGTTAACCAGAAATGTTCCAGAATTAGCAATTAAATGAAAATGGCTTTAACAAAATAAGACAACCCGCCTACCCGAAACATGCTCATAACTAGATAGAAGAAAAAACAGCAATGTTAGAAACCCATAGCAATCCTAATCCTTAGGGGCTGTGCTAGATAAAAAGTGCATCTTCATGTCTTCAGGCACTCTGACAAAAGCATTAGAATAATAGGCACTCCAAATACTGCTGAGAAAAAAAAAACCCCCCCCCCCCCCCCAGATCTTTATGTACTTTCCAAAGCAATATTTAATAAAGCTGCATGAAAAATAATCATGCTTTTAATTTACATATAAGTGGATTTGGGTATTCTTTTCTAAAAAAAAGCTTGAGCCGACATCTTGAAATGCCCAGTAGTTTGCTGCTTTCTTTACAACTGAATATTTATTTTTTGTTTTTCTGCTAGATGAATTGTGTCCATATGATTTCCTTAAACATTGATATATTTAAATAGGTTGATTTTTTTTCAATCAAATAAGAGCATTTGTACAATTCAATCTCTAAAAAATAGAGTCATTCTTCAATTGAAGATATACTGCCAAGGACACTCCAAGCTGCTAATTAAATCACACTCAATAGACTAGCTGTTTTGGTAATGAGGATGAGGAGTAACCTCCATAAGTCAACAGTGTATCTGTAAAGAGGCCTGCTGTCTACTCATCTCTAGTAATCTGTTATTGCCATCATGAAAAAATCCACACGGATACATTAGGGCTTTGACAGATGAGCTCTGGCAAATCTTGTTGGGGTGGGTAAAGTCGGAAGTGTTCCCAGCTTTTTGTCTTGCCCCTCTGCTTCTGTTTTCTGGCTGCCTGCCAGAGTTGGTAGAAATATTACGGCCTCTAGGGCCCCTCTCTGTATTATGGCATCCCAGCTTAAATAGCTGATGAAGCTCAGTTCCCACCAAAGCAGTAGCTATGTACCAGAGTCTTCTGCCTCTGCTTTTAGGGTGGTAACTCCTAGAAAAAGTGCAATATAAATGACTGAGGTGGAGAGGAAAGAGATGTTTAGATTTGAAACTAGCACAGTTTGCTTAGTGACCAAGTGAAAAGTTCTTCATCTAATTAGTGTTTGGCCACGGGCTAATGTCTGAGGTAGAGACTAAAGCCATAAGCTAGCAGCGCATGTGCTAAGGGACTGCCTTACTCTTTTACCAGATATCTGAGGAAAGATCAAAATCATCTTAGTCTCTTGTCACAACGCAAGCTGTTACTGTTATGCTGCATTATTTATACCCTGGAATTGCCCATGGGCCCATTCAGGATAGCACTAACATGGCAAGTTAGGCTCAGCAGTACAAAGCTGCTGACTGAAAGATGGGAAGGTGATTCAGATCTGCAGAATCTTATGTTCTGCAAAAGGAATTAGCAAGCAATTTCCCAATAGAAAATATCTTTATAGCATATCATATAGTGCACATTTGGTTTTGTAGCACTAGAAGCATTAATACTCTATTTTGTTTTCATTTTTAAACGCACTGCACAAGAATAACGGCTGAAAAATGAAGTTTTTAGAAGGAAATTTTAAGAATCAGAGGGATTCTGCATTAAAGTGAAGACTACACCATCCACTTGCAAAAGCATCCACATTTTGAAAAACTTAAGCTGTGTAAAGAAAGCTTCTGAAC